TTAGCACTGATGAAGATTATTAACTGCTTTCATAAATACTATGCAGAATGTGTAAAGAGCCAGGAAAAATATTGGAAAGATGTGTCCACTTGGCACTGTGCGGGAAGTGGCTGTGCAGCTCAGTCTTTCTGCAAAGCGCAGAAACTGCTTCTTGTGGGGATTAACTGAGCAGTTCCGTAGTAGATACATTATTTTTAATTCTTTGTGGCTTATTCTTTAAATCACTTCGCTTAAATCCGTATGATTGTAAGTATTAGACGATACCAAAGCAAGCCAATTTTGGATAGACAAGACTTGTTTCTGGATTCCAGGATTCCAAAGTGTGTGTGTATATTTAGTTAAAAGACTAAGGATTGATCCTGACTTGCAGAAATAACTCAACACCAATTTTCTGGAGGTATTAGTTTTTGATCCAGTAAGCTATTATATGTTCTAGATGTTTCTGTCATCGCACTGGCCCTCACATGTAACAATTCTTTATGAAATTAAAAAGAAACCTGTAACCTAAAAGAAAGTCAACTTATGCCATAGGGCAAGAGTTTAAGCTGCTGAAATCAATGTAATTCTACATGAGGACTACTCTTCTCTTGGTAGAACAGGGCCTGTTTTCAATGTAGCTTGTGTTGCTTTAGAAGCATTTTAAAATAAGCTCATAAAGCCACTGCCAACCCAGAGCAGTTGGTGGTACAGATGTACCAACAGATGTAACCACTGTGATTTAACCACAGCAATGCTGGAGACCAAGTCTTGGGTGATGTGACCACACGCTTTGCACTGAGCGCCGGTGAGCACTCTTCAGATTTCTATGTTAGGTTTGGTTGTGGGGTTTTTTTGACTTCCAGACTAGAAAATCATCCTAACATGTTTCTAAATATTTTTGCACAATGAAATATATGCATTAAAGTTTGTGATGACAAAATCTGTCTGCAAGAACAGGTTAGTGAAACAACAGCACTGACAAACAGCGTGTGCAAACTGATGTCACTTTTGTCACTAAAATTTCTTATGGTACAAGAAATTATAATGATTTCTCATTTCAGTATTATGGTGTAAGATTTTCTATCACAGTACACTCAATTTCAACTTTTAATTAAAAAAAATCTGTAATAGTCAAGTAAACTTAGGTGTTCTAAAAAATACTACTTTTCGTATTTGCTTGCTATGCATTGTGAACTAAAGACAGGATAGAAAAGAAATGGAAAAAAAAAGCCTTACCCTCATGAAATGAAGAAGAGTTAGCCATGATAAAGAGATGTAAATAGGAAAAGTTGGATGCAAGATGTGTGGAAAGGAAATTAAAGGCATCACTGAAAACAGGGAAAAAGAAAAAAGAAAAAGTGAGGAGGAATGGGGAGTGTTTCCTCTTAAATAACATATTCTGAAGGGTAGTTTTCCAATGGTTTTTGTAAGAATTGTGGAAAGAAACAAAGGCATGAAAAACAGTAGTAAAAGCTGCCATTAGACCCACAATCAGCAGGGATGTTGTTGAACTGGACTTTCTCGTCAGTACAAATTGCAAAATTGTAATCAGTACTGTATTATTGTCGATAAATTTACATGTGAAGTCACAACTCTGCAGATCATGTTTGGGAAAGCAAACCATGTGCTAACATCTCCACAAAAATAACTTCTTATATATGCAACTGACAGAATGTTCTACACAGTATTGCACATCACCTCAGCCTTACTCAGGCATTGTGATTTTCCTAATTGGTAAAGTGGGGTGAGACTGTTTTAAAAGGTGTTTTAAGAGGTGGGGGTTTTTTGGTTAGACAACACTGATCCACTGGTGGCATATTACTCAGGAAATAAATTGAAAAATGCAGTCTCCAAAACACTCAATGGTTAACACACAGATCTAGAATAGAGGACCCAGCCAAAACACAAGTTTTGTATTATCCAGTTCAACTATGCATATTGCTTTTTAATTGTCGATGGCATTACTGATTTTGTTGTCACTGATCCTGTGTTTGTTTTTTGAGAGATGGCATTTGGAAGGACCCTGTATCTTCTCATCCCCTGTCATAAGGGTTTTGGTCTCACCACGATAAAGAAAAGGAATAGCTTAGAAATCCTAAAAAGATTTCACAGAACAGAAAACTGCTGTCCATCCAGCTTTGGTATCGTTTGCTTTAATAACCAAAACTGTCTTTCCAGTGCTTTTAAACATCTCTCTGCTCTGACTGAAAGAACAAGAGCTTTAGACTGGCTATAGGACTGAGAAAGCAACAGCCATTATCCAGCTTAACAACTGTAGTGCAAAAAAAGCCAGAAGAGTGCTGTGGTATTAATTTTCAGTCCATGATTCATGATCAATACTTAGCATAAGTGTGAAAGAGGGTGAGGCAACTTGCAACTGACTGCTGCTTTTCCTCTGTCCTCCCCGAGAGCTCCAAGTGCCTGGGAATGGCATTGGAGAACAACGATGAGCCCAGTAACCAGAATGGTCATCCACCCAAGATGCTACAAAGGCCATTTAATTTCCATTTTCTTCAAAGGCTACGGTTAAGTCCCACCTTGTCTGTCACATAGATACACTCTCATTTGTTGTGTAAATTTGATAACTGAAAAGACACCAAATGGTGGATTTAATCAAATCCATTTTGACTGGAAGGATGAGCCTTAGAGAAGCTGAGGCAGTCCTTCCCACAGAGTACACGACAAGGGAGCAACACCAGTAACACATATCACAGCTAAATATTATCTGGACTCACACAGCCTGACCCACCAGTGCTTTGGAATACACTTGACAACTCCATTCTCTCCTCCATCATTTTTTCTAATAACTCATTAGCCGCAGGATTTCTCCAACCCATTGATCTCTTTGGAATAAATAAAAAAAATCTAAGACACTCATCATAAATCTCTACAATCACACTGCCCCATAAATTGCCCTGAACTCCAAATCTCTCCTCACAGTAAAAGACATTAATCCACTGTGAATTGTTTTTGCTTATTAAGTTTTAATTTATTGTTCTGACCTCTCTTAAGAGGCCATTTATTTCTTTAACAATATTTTACATGAGCTGTCAAAAGCCCCTTGAAAATTTATAACCGTTCTCATCCCTGGATCCCCTTTCAATCCAAAATCATAATTTATTTCTTTTTTCTTTTAACAAGTTGTCTAACAGGCCAGAATGACATGATTTGCCCTTGTAAATGCCATTCTGGTTTGACCCTATCAAGTTGTACTTATCTAAGTATTCACACTATGTTATCCTTGGACTCAATAGGTTCTCCTTGTAAGTGGTAACAGGATGTCATCAGCTAAACTCTTTGCAACGTGTTGGGTGTGTGACTTGGTTTATGACTCCTGTTGGCTCCTATTCTGCATCAAAAAAAACCCAAAATAACAATCCCAATTCCTCTGCCACCCCCTCCCCCCACCCCTTTACTCACCTCCAAGTTCTGGATATGAACAAAAATTATGATAAATCAAATTTCCTACCTAACATTTATTTCATGTTAAGAACAAAACAAAACCAAAACTGACAAAACTGAAAAAATACAAAACACTCTAAGCTTTCATCCTGATAGTGATTCCAAGGAAACTAGAACAAGGACTAAAAAAGTTAACTTCCATCACACTACTACATGCTATTTGCAGACATAGCTTTCTCTTTCAAGTAAGCAGAGGCTTACATGCTTTGAAGCAAATTTGTAAACATGGGTAAGAAACACTAAATGGTAGATTTTGTCTGCATTCCCATACCATTCCTTTATATTCATCTCAGTTGTGCAATTTATCGCAAGTTTTTAGCTTTCAATGTTGATGTCAAATGAAAACCTGGGAAAAAAATACTACCTGCTTCTCCAGAAGAATGTTACTACAGTAAACCATAGCAACAGCAGAAGGTTTACAATAAACAGACATAGTTATGCTGGAAAGCTCATAGACCTATGTGAAATCAATTTAGGATTTTATTGCTACATTGCAATTAAAATTCCTCTGTAACTTAAAGCTCTGCTTTCAAATCCGAAGAAAAGGCAGGTTTGGCTGTTGAAAGTGTATTATTGTACAGAAATGTTTTACAAATAAAGCAGTCTGGGTAGAAACCACCACACCAAAATAACATTTCGTGCCACGGGTGAAAGGTAGCAGTGCTTACACACGCAGGGTACTCTGGTTGTGGCTCTTACAAAAACAGGTCTCTGGGGGCACAGCTGTGACCGCGGAGGAGAGCGACGGCAGCAGCTGCCCCTGGTGTATTTCTAAGTAGAGGCAGAAATGGCTGTGACAGCTCCTGCCTACAGCCCTGGGACAGGAGTTGGAGTGCCTCGTTTTCCAAGAGCCACTTACTGCAGCACCCACCGCAGTAAACATCACTCCTGCACTGCCAACTTGGGAAGGAAGGAGGGTGAGAGAAGACTGAAAAACAACCCGTTACTCCTTTCCAGGTGATTTCCCCACTGAACAGTTCGTGTGTCAGGAACACAAATAGTTATTTTCGAGAGAAATTTAGACTGTTTTTAATTGGTGTATGCAGTAAGTTAGTCAAACGGACCTGAATTGGGTTTCTATTCCTTTGTATTGGAAAGTGTAAAGATTACTAACTGCACCAAACCCACAGTCTTTTACAGCATTAAAAATACAGCAGCACTAATATTACATCAGTTAAACAAGTATGCCTTATTCTTGTTGGCCTTATCACTTGTTTCAGACTTCTAAACAAGAATAACAAGAGCTCTCCTATTCAAAATAGCTATTCCGTATTTGCTTTTAATTATTTTATTTTTTTAAAAGAGATATCCCCAATATTTTAAGTAAAGCAGAGATGATCCTTAATACTGCAGTTAAAATTTGATATAAATGCACTCACATTCACTGCCAAAACTTCAGCCTGCCTTTTGGATCATAACTAAGGCACTAAAAAGCAGAAACATGCACCATAAATTTCTCAGGCAAACTATAAAAAGCACTATAACTTACCGATGTCATTGCTTCTTTCAGAGGAGTCTTTCTCTAGAGCGCCGGATACTGTACTGCCCACTAATTCCACTTTTGGACTATCACCCCTGCATGTGGATCAAGAAGAGATGTTTTATTGACAGTTTTTGTGTGGGTTACAGTAAATTGATAGCTAACTTGCAACTAATAATGAGAGAGCAAAATATTCTTCCTTTGTAGCACCCGAGTGGTAGCAATATGTCAGGGAGAGCAATCTCTAGTAAGTAGACATGCTGTATGGATTAACCTTATCCCATTTCTCCTCAACACCTGTCAAAAAAGCCTATTTTAGGCACTGTAGCCTCCTGCATAATTCTTCAAATGTTCACAGTATCTCAACATGAAGGAAACCTAAGGACGAGGGGATATTCTTCAATATCCTACTTGTAATTTTTTCTAATTAATTGGCTTGCATAAACTCTAGCAATGGACTATCTGGAATACTGCAGAAAGGGAGAGAACCTCAAGCTAGCATTGTGTGTTAGGACAGTTCTGAGTATTTGCTCATAAGTGCAGCTCCTCCACCATTTTTTTGCATGCTGCTTATGATATTAGACTATGAATATTGTTTTCACAGGTCCAAAGAACCAAGAACACCTAATTTTTCTGAAATGGCTTTGCAATAGGCAAGTGTCAGGAGCTGTGATATTTTATACATAGGAACTATTTTAAAATCAAACAGAGGATCAAACATAAGCAACATAATTATTCTTTCCTTGTAGAACTTTCTATCCCACAACGACATAAGTTTACTAAAATAACCTGTATCTATTGAAACAATTCATTTAAAAAAGGCCAGTGGAAGGTTAGTAACTGCATTGCACAGGTCATACAAACAAATCTCTGTGATATGTACTGTGGTAACAACTGTTCAATTAATGCAATAGATTGTATTTGTCATCATTAACAGGTCACCTAGCAAATAGAATAGTTTTCCACAGTGACTATTTCCAGTGTAGCAGTGTAAAAATTATGATGTATGTAAGGTACCCAGGGATAAAAATATAGATCTGTCCCTGAAGCAACCCAGACAGCAATAATTAGCCATTGACAGTAAAATACATAGTGAACTCCCAAATCTCGTTGATTTTTTTTGTTTGCCTCTGCTTTTGATGCCGTAAGTTGATGACAGATGGCTTGAACCTCAACTCGTGGCAGCAGCTTATGAGCAAAACACAAAGTGACTAGAAACCATATTTCAGACTTCAGGAAGGCTGTGATAAAGACCCTGAAAAATTTTATTCAAATCCAGAGGAAGTCACAGTTTAAGTGAACATGTATCCCATTAAACACTGTGGTAGGATGACAAGTATTTTATGAACAAAAAGGTAAAAAAACCAGATTATGACCTGAAAAGCAAACTAGTCCTACACACCTATCAGTATGGCAGGCAGTCTGCACTAGGAAGGAAACAGAAGAAATTTAACATATGCATAGAGAAATGTATTAATTGGCAAGATGAGAAATAAAGGTATTCTCCAAGTGATCTACCTAAACTATTAGTTTTCTCATCTTCAGGTCTTTAACTTTTTTTTAAATTGCTTTTCTATTTGTGAACCTAAAAGAAGCAACATAGTTTCTTGGCTGACAGGGCAACGAGCATCTGACTGTGTACTCTGTTCTGCACACATACATTTCTGAGCAAACTGAGAGCACCATGTGAGTTGGAAGCACTCTAGGAAATATATGAGCATGGTTTTGGAGGAGATTCTTAGAATGGTATGATTTAGGGCTGAAAGTCACAACACTTACCATTTGACTACAAAAGACACAGAGATATATGACAACAGCCCCACAAAAAACCCCAACCCTGTTGTCAGAAGAATCAACAGGCTTATTATGCCCATCTACATTGATACTGTTGTGAAAGGACCGGAGCCATCACTTCTCGGTCACAGGACATCCCTCCCTCTGCTCGTGCCCATGCAGATAGGCTGTCAGCTTGAGCAGACAGATGATCAGCCTGAAAGAAACCCCACACTAATAGAAATCCCACTGCAAACTGATTAATTGCCATCTGGAGCAACTTCCTGACCCATATGGCTGAATGGCAGCACAAATGCTGCTGCTAACATAAGGGAGGCTATGGGAATGGACTGCCAGGAGAGGGAACCTGCCCCTGTGAGCAGCAGCATGAGCACGGATTGTTTTAGACTGATTGTAAGGATGCACTTTCTGTGCTCTGATAAAGAGCATCATGTAACTATAGAGTAACAACCAACATTAGAGCATAAATACTTGACAGCACTGTTCTGCAGTGGCACCAGCTTAAAGAGCATTCTATGAGGACACATGTATTTTGCTAAAAATTGATCTAAAATGATCAAAGGAAACAGACTGAAACCAAACTGGCAGTATGTGAAGGGTGCATTGTCTGACACTATTCCGCAGTACAATACAAGCTTTTGCACTGACACAGTGCCTGGACTAAGCTGCAATAATTCAAGGGAAACCAAGAAAGTCAACATCAGTGCAACATACTGATGCAGATTTCCCACATATTCTGCAGTGTTACAGTAACAGAGTGTTCATCAGTAGAGATGAAATAGTAATAAACACTCTAAGACTGCTATTCTTGAGAAGATAGTTATGATCCAGCCAGATGACTGGAAGGATTTTCTTTTTTTCTTGTTCTTCTTTAAATACAATTTACCATGAAATGAATTGTGACATAAAGTGTAAAACACATTTAAATTCTTTAAATTTTTTTTCCCCCCACTAATCCCAAAAGCACTGGACAGAGGCAAAGCAATACCTTGTATGAGTCACAGGCACAACTGGTCTTTCTGGTCGTCTTGGGGGCAAGGTACCAGGTCTATTCACAGAGTTGGCTTTGGGTGGCCGAGGCTTCTTCGGAGGTATAGCAGGAACTGAAGGCTTCTGCAAGTCTAACTGTTTTTGCTCTCTCTCTGATCTTTCTTTAAATCAATCATTTCCAGAAAAAAGAAAATAGATATTATTAAGTGGGATTCATTTGCACTAACAAGTCTATAAATAAACAAGAAATCTGTAGTTATCTGTAGATACACTGTATACGAAGAAAAAGCTCATTTCCTTTCCACTCCTGTTTTAGTAACTTACTGGTTTCTGACTGTAAAATATAAGAATGGCAAAAAAAATCATACCATATGGAATGATTTCCCATGAGCACACCTTGTATCAAATTCTAATATGAAACAATATTAAGTTAGAAGGTCACAAAAATAATTATGCTGGATATTCTTAACATTTCTTGAACAGAGAAATACCATTTCTGGGGTGAGAGGACAGAAAAAATGTGTTTCAAGTGAAGGACAGTTAAGTGAAAAAAAATATAGCCATGCTTATCAGGATGCAGACTCCTTGGAAAAATCAGACCTTTTATTTAGGTTTGCAACCACAGACTTATATGCTGAATTTTTCAGCTTGCCAATGAAAAACTGGATCATTTGCAAAACTCATTATGGGAGTGCCACAATACTAATATCCAATGCCAAACACACAATGCCTGTGAATATGTAAAGTACAATACACATTAATAACTCTTGTAAATAATACGCATGTAAACATGTTTGCCACACTAGAGGAAACCTGATTTTTCTTAAAGAAAGGATGAAACTCTAAAAGGGCACAACGTTCTGCTCTTTGTATCCTGCTATGTCAACACCCCACTTCCTTTGACAAGGCTGTCTATGATATGCCATGAGTGTCACACCTCTGTATACATGTAAGAGGCATTGGGAATGTTACTGGGTTGTATTGCTAAATGGGTTCTAGGTTTCAGTCTGAAAGGATCATGGAATAAATAACCAGAAACACAATCCCCATTAGATTTGGAATAGTCAACTTAGTGACTATTGTTCACAGGCATATACCCTTTGCCAGCATACTTTCAGCTGATGCAATTGTTGGGTCCTCTGGAACACTGAAGCTTTTCCATCATACTGTGTAATTTTTATGCAATTAATCCTATGAAAATTTATACTGCATCAGTGTCCAAGAATCTAAACTATGTATGAGGAACAGGCTAGGTACTGTGCCAACACAGCGCAAAGAACTTTCCTGTGCCACCCCTGCTGCCACACCACGCTGAGCAATTCCTGCCACTCCTCAGTACTCCTGAAATGTAGGCATGACTCCTACAGCCTCTTTTCAACATTTAGAAAAGTTACAGATATTTATAGCCTGGGACAGTAACATATTTAAACTTCCTCCGCTGTTTTGGCAGTTAGCTTTGTAAATCCAAAAACGGAAAGCAAAGGGGTTTATCACTAAGATAACCATGAGAAGTAGCACACATAACATAAATGTATGTAGGGGAAACTGCTAAAACACCTGTCAGATCACTCAGACATATATCCAGAAACAGATCTTGGTGCAGAGTCTGAAGGTTCTGGACTAATTGCATATTACACATGTATAAAAGATAGCAAGCTTGAATAATGAGAAGATAACCCCTAAACACACCTGTCCATACAATTTAATAGTCCACTTAAACATATGAAACGTGACACCACCTTCAATTAGAGAATTTTCCTTAAACTATTCAGAATGCACAATGAATACAATGAAACCATTAAAGGTTTAATTTGCTTGTCCCTGCTCTGTGTGGTATCGTGTCCCATTTCTTGCAATGTTCAAGCATGGCTTTGAACTCAGAATTTTTTCGTTTCTTCACAGCCTTGCCTAAGACTTTTGTGACTATGAGAATAGGGTGATTCATAAGTATTAATGACTATATCTTCACAAAACCCCTCTGTGATGCAGGAAAACCACCAACCCTGCTTTTAACTTGAGAACGAAGGCACATGGATGTTAAGAAAAAAGTACGCACTAATCTGGGGTATCTTCCTCGATCAAGGACCAGGGTTTTACAGAGCAGTGAGCTTTATACAGCATTTTACGTATTGAGAGCAAATCTCCCCTTGACTTCAGTTGTGGCTGCATGTACTTAACAGCTCTGTATTGGTACAATTGAATACCCCGAATTTAGTCCATAAGCAACAATGAGATCCTTTCCAAAATGCCTATCATGACAGATCTATCAGGGTGGGAAACAAACATCCAAACAATACACTAAATGGAAACAGAGGCTGAGAAATAAGGATGTGCACGGGTTCTATTTCCCTCATCTCCCTGCAGAGAACAAGGAGGAGAACACATTTCATACCTTTTTCTTCTGTTCGATTAGGAAGACATTCTGGCCTTTCAGGTGGTATCTTTTTGATTTCATGCTTTCGATCTGTGGTCCCTGTCAAAGAAAGAAAAATCTGGAATTCTGAAGAAGCCAACAAACCAGCATATAGAGCAGCATAGGATTCAATTCAGCAATTTCTTAGGCTTTTTATATGCTCCAATTTGAAAATGTCTTGCTAAAACTGAACATAAATCTATTTCAAGTATTTGCTTACACCATAATGACAAAAAAAGCAATTGGATGTTTATGTCATTATAATCAAATTCAGTTTCCAAAGTGTGCACCCCAAAGGAATAGACACTTTCAGACCATTCTATGGAAAAAACATCATTCAATAACTACAGATTCTTAGATGTGGACAGATTCCTTACCATTATAGACAAAATTAACTGAAGAGCAACTCAACAGTGCACAGAATCATTACAAATAAATCAATTAATTGGGCAATGCCAAGAGAATACTTGATAGAGCTGAATACACAAAGCTTATTTTACATTAAGTTAATGCATCCCTCCCTCTTTTTCACCACTAGTGCTAGTTGTTCCCTTCCACATACTAGAAGGATGAGAACAGCAGTGCTGGCAGTATTCTGCATGACTATTCTAACTGACAGCTTTTGGCCTGGGGGTGTAAGCCCCTGCCTTCTTCTGCTTCTCTACTAGAGGCTCTGACATACTGAATTCTGTTGCTCTAAGGAATATGGGAACTTGTGGCACCAACAATGGGAAGATTTTGCAAAAATTTCCTGGCACATGCAAGATGTAATCTTCTAATCCCTATATTATAAGAAATCCTTTACTGGATATTGGCTTTGCTGCACTGGCTAACTACGAGCTGCTAATGCCATTTCAGCTTAGTAGTGTTGAAAACTGCTTTAGGTAACACTATTAGTATTTCAACAAAAATTACAGCAGATGAAATCCAAGAAAAGCAGAGGAGGCAGAGCAGGGAACACGAGGCAATTTTTTGCTTCAATCTATTCTATTATATGCAGTTCTCAAGTACATTTACATTTTCTGAATGTGCTGTCACAACTCCCTTCTGCAGCTGGTTCCTAGAAATGAGTACTCATCAGTGGTGATCACCAGCCATTGTTTCTTCATGTAAGTGTACTGTTGGACAGGCAATACTAGTACCATTTATCATGTTAATAAATAATACTAAATTGCCCTTTTATGGTTGTATTTGATGATCTTGAGGGCCTTTTCCAACCTAAATGATCCTATGAAAAATACTTCACTCCTGAGAGAAGCTGTTGCTGCAAACCAATTAAAGCCTTTCTAAACACAAGCTATGCAAAGAACAAGTCAACATACTGATAATCTTGCACACAGTAGCGTGTTAAAAAAACCAAAACACACACAAGTCTATATACCTAACTACAGTAAGATTAACAGTCATCATTAACTCACAGAGGGACATTCTCAGGCCATGCCTAAAACAATGAGCCTACAAACACTGAGGTGCATTCAGGCTCACTTGTACTCCCTACTTGGGTTGTGACCCCCAAATTGATCAGCACCCAGGCAGGCACCATGATCCTGCCTTAGCTCCCGGGCAAAGGTCACCTGCAAGGAAGGTCTGGGGAACACCATATCAGCTCTGAGATGGACAAAAAAGAGTATTCCCACTCTTTGGTCTAGACACAGTTGTATTGCTTATCCCAGCTACCCAATGAAATGCCTACTGCTTCTCAACAACTATATATGAGGGATTTGTGCTCCTAAATTTGGCAGTCCAGTTTTCACCTTGTTCTGTAAAGCAGTGCAGCACAGACAGCCCTGGGAGTCTGTTGCTGTGCAGAATTTGGAAATAGAGCCAAATTTCTCTCTCTACTTTAATACAAACCAGACACCTCCTTTAGACATATGCCACTTGTACTACAAAGACCAGTTCTAATCTCTGCTCTGAGTTTATACTCTGCATCAGAAGATACTGATATTTAGTTATTTATGTTGCAACTGACAGTTCTCAATTTATTAATCATACTATGGCTGGTTAAATATGCAGAAAAATTAGTGGAAGCTGTTACCTACTATCAACAGTAAGGCCTGACATGGAGATGTGGCATAATACAGTATAACCTTGGTAAAGTGATAATTGGGCAAAGTAGAGATGTCAGGATGGCAATAAACATAAGACAATTTTCACCTCTAAATACCTATCAGAAGAAACTCTTGTACATGATTAGCCAGGACTTGTCAAAGACTGAGTAAGAAAACAAAGGACAGCAATAGTCCTGGCTTTGACATAGACTTTGATGGCCTAATCAAATTGTCTGCATCCTTTAAGCAATCACTTTTCCTTCTGAAAATGGGCACATTACCCTCTATGGTGACACAGTTAATGTGTTGTGTGCAAACAACTACAGACATATTAGAAGTGCTAGTCGCTAATTATAGAAGTATAAATTGAAAGAAATGTAGTGTTTTATAGAGCTTATCCAAAATGTCAGTTGGCACTTAGACATCAATAGCCACCACTAGATGGCAAAGTCATACTGCTCTCTCTGGACACTATTACTGATCACAAATTTTTGGTTTTATAAGTCTTAAGACAGAGTGAAGAACGACCTGTGGGTGTCAATAAGCAACGCAAATATTTATGGTCATGATTCTGTAGTCACAGAACTGCATGACAAAGTGAAACCAGTAAAATTAGAGCATATTGATTCACAGTAAATTGTACACTGGCGTACCTTGTTCTTGTATTAAGCTCAAAACTGTAGGAGAGGGAAATTTACTTTTTAAAGCACCAAAAGCTGGAACAGACCACAGTGACAAGAAAAATATCTGGCTAGATTGGACATATTTGTTTCAGTTTTTAATGTGTGCCAGCAGTGCAGGACACAGTAGTGCTGCTGCAGAATTTTTACAAACTGACTGGGCTTAAGGGATTAAAGAATTCCAGCCATAGTTATGCTTCCACTACAACTGCAATACAAATGAAAACTCTGAAAGCACCCTGTGCCTTGTGATTTGTAATTTTATATGAATGGAACTGGAATTTGGTTTCCAAGGTCAGAACTGTCAAGTGCATAGATACTTCAACTGTTTCTAAGTTTCACAGTAAAAATAAATCATGATGGCATTTTTGAAAATTAGTATTGAGAGGTCATTTTAAAATTACAATTAAAACTGAGTTCAGATTGCAGCTGAGACCACTTTATGACAGTATTTCATAGATAGGCATTTTAAAATGGTGTAGATGGTTGACTGCAATACCTGTAAAAATCACACCACAGTGATCATAACCCTGAAAGATTCTGATTCATTAGCTGTTGTCTGGACACCTGCTTATCAATTTTGATACAGATGAATTCTATATAAATTTGAATACACTTCATTTAGATTGAGATGTGCTCACTGACATGTGCTGTACAAAATCAGCTGCACCTTACCTGATCCTTGTTTGATGATAGGAGCTGATGGAGGTGGTGGTTTCTTCGGTCTCTGAAATTTAATAACAGATGAAAACAGATTGCTTCAAAATGCCTGTAAATCTCATTCATGCACACATGTAACCATCCATTGCTTAACATTAATGATTACCAGTCATGAGACTACAGATCTGTCACATATTTTCCCTTAAATAACTTTATTAAATGAATTTGAAGAGAGACAATAGCATTGACAAACAAAATGCAATTTTTATACTTTTGCAATTTAAAAGTCCTGCTGAGGGGTAAAATTTAATGTACCTTAATATTAGAGAAATACATGAACTTTGGTTTACTAAGAAAGATGTGGGCAGGAACTCAGGAGATCAGAAAGTTCTTCTCTAGCCTCAGTGCCATGGGTCATTGTCCATGAACACTGAGTCCCTTACACAGAGACACTTTTGCAAGAATTTGGGCAACATGGTTCAAGGTTTAAATGCAGAAAAGTGAAGAAAAATTTGGAAAGGAAAAAAAGACAGGGACAATGAATGTCTTGTGACAGTAATTAGCAGTTTTGTTGATAATGGCTGCAGAGTGAAATAGTTGGTGCTGAGGATCCACCATTACATACAATATACATTTGGGGTTTTATTCTGGAGACTGATCCCATTGACTGTCCATGCATCAGCAGTAGGAATATGAGATGCACTTCTTTAACACATCTTTTGGCTTTTAGTTCTCATCTGTAAGGAGTCTAGGTCATGTCCCCTGAGACCTGTCTTCCAGGCAAACCAAAGCATAACAACCGCAGATGGACAAGTGACAGATTCACTACAAATCCCACTCCTGATTAAATCCAGACCATTTTATGTAGATAGACAAAAAGAAGAAAGGGTCCTCTGGTTCATTAGACAAAGTGGCATTAACTGGAAGCTGAAGAGGGAAATAGATTGTTTCAAAAAGGCAGACAAAGGTCAGAAAGGATGTGGTGTGACAGAGCCTTAAGACTACTTAGGGAAACATAGAGAAATATGAAGGAATGACAAAAGTCTGTGGTTGGATGAGATAATTTCTAGTCTGTCTCCATCACCTTCTCAATTAAGACAGGAGAAAGGAAACCAGGACTGTCTGGACAAGAAGGGAAAAGAACTACAGAGCAGGGAAAAAGCAAAACAGCAGAGGAAAACAAGTTGGATAAAGAAATTTGGTGCACAGATAAAAAGCAAATCCAAATGGTGACTTTGACTCAGGTAGTGAGCTCAGAGAAAATACTGTAATGGGCATCACCTGAGAGGTGGAGATTGGGACTAGGCTGCAAATAGATAAGGCCTGGGACAAATAGCCATGTGTGGAAAAGAATCAGGGTTGGAAAATTGGGGACTGAACAAGGAGACGGGAAAGGACCTCAAGCTTTTGTTCAACTAGTTCAACTTAGAAGAACTAGTGCAACAAATACTTTCAGACCATGGGATGGAATCCAAGGTTTCTGAATCACATCAGAAAATACTTGACAAAATCACTGGAAAAGTATTTATCTCCTTCCCTTTTAGCACGGATTCAAAGAAAGACAGATGGTCTATAGTCCTACCAGTTACTTACTCACGTGGCCAGGTCTGTGGCACTTTAAAAATTAGTAGCATTTAATTCTCCACATTTAGAGCAAACCTAGCTGCAACTTCTAAGGGTCTGAATATCCAATTTGTTCCACAAGTTATATTCATTGTACTCTAAAAACCACTTAAAGATATATTATTCATAAGTTCAAAAAGACTGAATAATTTCACCACAAAAAATTAATATGAGTAAAGATTTTTTTTGTTCTATGATAGGGCCACTATGTCTTAAGGTTTATGATTTCTGTCTCTTCTGGAAATCACCTTCTTTTGTCATTAGGCCTAAAGCCAGGATATCCAGTCTGCTATGGAACTGCATTTTCATCTCCAGTAGTTTTTGCCGCTCTTCTACCTTCATTTTCAATAATTATCACGTTAGCCTGTGTGCGTTGTTTAATAGCTACTTTATTAAGCTTTTCAAGCCATTTAATTCTTGCCTTCGGCATCCAATTTTATTGCCAAAGACTGAACTCAAGTGTCAGTAAGCCTTGGTTTTATCAGAGAAAGCTTACACTGTCACTGTGAAATACTCATCAAAAGCCTGATTGCAAGCTTGTAATATCCCACTGAGGACTGAAAAGGTTCCTAAAAATGGAATGGACTTCTTGGGGGAAGTAATCCATTACTACTTTATTCCAGGAAGCTGCAAGATTTCTAAATATTGTCTGGCAAGTAACACCACCATCTTTTTCAAATAAATAGAAGCTGAAAAAGCTTCTGCACATATTTTATACCTTTCTTTTTAATAATTCTGAGAGGTGATGAAACATACTCCTCAGATACCAAAAGCTCACTGTTTTTCAAATCTCTCAGTCAAGATTTCACCCTTTTTGTTCTGGAAGACTGCTCGACTGCTATCCATCAGCATGCAGGTGGTACGCTAACCTTTCATATTTCACCACAAAAACTGTGGAGAAGAGTTAAGAATTCTGGATATCATTGCATCACATGACTCAGTCCTGGGACCTCCAGTTCCTCTCTCTCTCTCAAAATTAGGTCACAGGACAGAGGACTTTCAGGGCAGCATGGTGGAGGTGGAGTGACTTGGATGGGCCAAACAAACCCTCCAAAGAAACTCCATTACATGACTTTGAGTGTCATGCAGTCTCTTCATGGATGCTTTTTAAGCCAGAAATTTGTCTCTTTTATTTTACTAGGTTAGAAGTACAACCTTGTCAAGATCACGTATCTGAAAGAGGATTTCCTTCAACCCTACTTTCATTCTGTATTCTCCAGAGAAAAGGAAAGAAATCATTGCTTACCTCTTTTTCAAAATCAGAAGGAAGAAGCTTGACAAAATTATCTGGAAACACACCTCGTCTGCCATTGAGTTCTCCTTCCCACCAACCCACGTCAATGCAATCCTACAAAATAGCAATATGAAATGAAAACCACAATGTGCTTGTGCACTGAACAATTTGTGAGCTGAAGTACTCTTTTGCATAATGTCCTGCCTTTTTGCTAGAAGATGACAATTTGCTGGAGTGCCAGGTTAACAGGGTAATCTGCCAGATAAAAACGCCAGTAATCACCCTGCATTTCATTACCACATGGAGCAGTGAGGAAAGAACAATAAACATGCTATAAGAGCTCAAGAGCTTGTCTGTGTCTAAAGCAAAACGCTAGCTCACCATTTGATCTATTAAACAAGTCAGCATTTTGAGCACGTATGACACTATGTCTCTCTGACTTCATTTTGCAGAAAGACAATAACTTAATTAAACATAAAAACCCCAGGAGAATAAAAAGCTCCTTCATTTCCCATACTTTCAAGAAAAGCTTGACACATTAGAATTATTAAATTCCATTACAGTCCAATTAAGATGGCATTATACACCTGATCAATATAATGCATCACCTTTCTCTGCAGCATTTCTGAGCAGTACAATGCAGAGTGTGGAGCAAAACAATGTACAGATAAATAAATAATAACTGAAGTACTATACCAGTGAGTCTAAATGATGAAAAAATAGTAGAGCTATTTTGGCTATGGATAATAATAGCAACAGAAGCCACGGGAATTCTAGAGAAGGTTAAAATTGTTCCTTAAGTTCCTTAAGGATGCTCCATGTTCCCTTTTATTTTTCTGTTTGATAAAGAGAACACTTCCTGTTGAGATTTTCCACATTCTTCTTTTCTGAAAGCCGAAGCTGAACCAATTCAGCTGTTTTCCAAGATACAATTATGGGAAAGTCACCATTGTCTGCTCAGTCTTAAAACCATTTCAGCCAATTTTTGCCCTTGGCTCGGCATGAGGCTGGCTAACCTTTCATGATTTCCATGAAATCATTTATTTCAGCTGCAAAATGGATGATAACATAAAGCAAGTTAACTTAACGAGGTATACTTAACACCAAGTATTAAAAATATTGTTCACCATGACTGTGCTTGTTAGTATTTTTCTGGAAGTTAAAATACACAAACAAGGATGGATGACAATCGAGAGAAAACAAACTAGCATTAAAGAAGATGATCGCTTTTGTTTTTGGGGTGTTTTTTAGTTATTTTTCTGTTTTAGACTTTTTATTTAGCTTATTTAGTGCACCTGATCTCCTGAGATAGAGTAGATGCTAGCAAAATACACCAGCTAAATAGCCTGGTTTCTCACATCATGTCTGTCCTGTTGTGCTTTTTTTTCTAACTCCCTCATATCTCAATATTTTTCTCTGATGTAATGCAGGCACTGAACAATCCTTTCATTGTTCTTTTGATAATTTTCTCTCATGCTTAATCTGTGCTTTTCTCCTGTATTCTCTTCTCTTTAGCAGGGTGGCTTTCACCAGGGACACATATTTTCTAGGCTTTCGCAGGAGATATTTAGGAGGTATTTATGGGCTCTGTTAGACCTTCGTTAGTGAGCAGGGCTGATGCCTGACTAGCTGGTGTTTTCAAAACACTCTCTGAGTGCATACAGGGCTGGCAAGGGCTCTGTGAAGGGCCAAGATAATCAGCTAGTCATGCATGGCACGGGCAGGCACTGTGCAGGGTGTTGCTCTCCCTGCAGAGCCAGCACCCCTCGCTCCCCATGTGAAGTCTCTCTCCCACTTGGCTCTGTCTACTTGCGCAGCCTAGTAATGAGTGCACTCAACTGTTCTATCACATGGTGTGTTTTATAATGCACTCCACCCCCTACGCCGCTAATCTGAAATTGCCAAAACATTTATGATCCAATTTAGGTTTTGAAAAATATTAAGAATAATTCAAGCATCCAGACATGAAAAGCTTGTGCTTCAACTGATAGCACAGCTTAGTGCTAGCTAATAATCCTGACTGAACAACACACGACATCACATATATTCTTTTCAGGTCGAATTTTTTATGCTCTTAGGAAACACAAATCTTACTCCTACTTCTTAATTTTATTAACACATATGAATATTTTCTTCAATGACTTTTTTAAAGCTCATTTGTTTTCATGAAGCTGCTGTTTGTGCTACACATTCATTAACCCCAAACAGCTGCAGGTTTGCTTTTTTCCCCCCCACTCCAGCTTGTCTCTCAGGCTTATGCAGCCAATCACCACATTGGATTGTCATACAGTAAGGAAATCTCTTTAAGACAGTTTCTCTTTAATTTTCTCATTTACTTTCTTTGCAAGAGGAAGCTGATGTGTCACGGAGAAAAAAAATAGAAAGAGATCGCAGAAATTAAAAGCTACAGACGAGATCTGGTGTAGAATCTCAGCAGTGGTGACTCCTGCCATACACAACTGCAGGCTCACTGTGCCTCAGCAACCACTGGAAGTCTGTCTAAGATGTTGGTAGCAGGCAAGTCTTTACCATGAGACAGAGCACCATACAAGCATACCTGAGACAGAGCTGCACAACCTGCCTCAAGTACTAACAAACCGCAGAACTATGAAGCACAATCAAGACAACAGGATGAAAACAACGTGGCTGCTTATGACACTGAGGAAAAGCTACTCCTGTAACTTCCTCATCCTCACCAGCAATGTAATGGTCTTTTTTAACCTATCTGCATGTGTTCAAGTTCAACAAACCAAGTGGATCTCTGCTTTATCTCCATATTCTGTCAGACTCATAACAATGTAAACCGACAAAAGACAGACAATGAAATATCCCAAATGTCCTATGCAAAAAAAAGTATTCCAATTCCTAAAAATGCATTTTACTTTCCTTTCAGAAAAAAAACCCAACAACAAACCACAAAATATTTACAAAACTGAAGACTAAATTATATGTAACATATAGAGGCTTCCATTGCACTCACATTGTGCTACCTAAGACATCTCCGAGCGATCAACTTTTGTTACTCACTAAGATCAGTTCCTGGAATTCAGACTTTATAGTGCAGTGCAAAATTTCTTACATTCTTTTGAAGAAAATGGCTATGATTTAAAGCATCTGGTCAGTAATCAAGTACTGCTTGGCAGAAACATGATTTTAAACTCTGGCAATAATGCAAAATGAGTCACTCAATAACTACCTAATCCAAGACCATTTAGATAAGAGACAGTAAACTTGTCATCTCAGGCAGTCCTGGAGAACACCCATTTTCCCTCTACATATGCTTTCTTGAAAATATGCATAAATTATGAAATACTGAAAGAAAAGTATGAAAGGAAACCTCCAGTCAGGCTCTGTTCGGCTCCTAAACCAGGAATTTCTCCTGCTCAGGTCCTCAACCTGTCCCAAGAGCACAAAGTCCTTCATGGATCCTTCCCAGTTCCTGTCTGTTCTTATGCCCAAGCCATAGGGAACCTTACATCTGATAATGCCAGTTGCATCTTCTAAATCTTAAGGAGTCAAACAGGTAAATTTTTATTTATCCCTAAGCTCCAAGGCTCTACTACGAATTTACCGTGTCAACATTGTACAGAAGGGAACAGGAGAGACTGTCAGAGATTAGACATTTCAGCTGTAGTTACAATACTCTTTCCAGGCAGTGTTTTTGACTGGAAGGCACAAGAAGACACCTCTCCAGAAGACACAGTCTTTTCAAAAATTGGCTGAAGTTATTGAACCCTGCTAAAAAGAAACTGGCTGAGAGTAATGAATGACCTGCAATACCCAGGACATTAGAGCAGAGGATCTAGCAGAGCAGATGTATTTTGTCTGTTAAATCTTTTTCAGGCTACATCTAACCTTTTGACTTCGTATTCTGTGACTAAATAGTTTAATCAGTAATGAAGCTAAAAAGCTTTGATGAAATATTTGTACAAACAGAAAAAAACTAAGTTGCTTATTGAACAAAACAATCTCTTCTGGGGATTCACTTCATTTGCAATGTTCAGTCAGCAGAATATCATGGAGAAATAAATATGTTCCACATCATAAAACTCTAACACTCCAATACTCAAATTAAAACCAAATTAGCCAACTCAAACATGAAAGGTAGTGCTAGTAGCAGACATAATTTATGCCTCTGATGAGCCAAGATAAAATATTTACGTAATTACATTTTCTTTATTTAGAAAGATTATAAAAACATAGAAGAAAACATTGGAAGGATTATTTAATGCTATTACTAGTTAGATCACAGACATCTTAGGACCAGGGTCCTAATTACAATTACTAATTACTTGGCACATTAGGTACAGTTTTACTTTCCCTTGGAATAGCTCTCCCTACCCTGAAAAGGCTGGACTTGAGATAATACCATCAAACCAGCAGGTGAACCCAAACATGCAGAATGAAAGAAAGGATGAAGCTAAACAGTGAGTCTAAAGCCCACACTGTGAGCAATAATCACAGTTTCCCAGACGCCCCAGCATTTCAGCAGCATCTTTTGTAAGTACGGGGCAGAAAAAATCTTCTTTCCTTTTTCATCTCGAAATATGTCACCTTTGTAGGTCAGCTTGGCTGCATTAAACATAATTACAAATAAACCTAACTCTTTCCAAGTGACGCAAATCTTGAAGCACTGCATGCACAGGGGATCCTGCCACTTCACCTACATAGCTTGGCATGAACTTCTATTTGTAAAAATTCAAATTTGGGACTTCCTATGAACAAAAGAATCCCCTACTCTGAAGGCCCTGCTGTAGCACCACAATCAGTGATAACAAAAAGAGGAAAAGAGAATTTCAGTGTGCACTTTAAAAAAAATAATGTTATAAATATACTAACAAGAACATTTAAGTGCTGGCTGTTCCCCTCTCCCCTGGACTAATCTCAGGCTTCAGAGTTTAATTAAGTGCTCAGCTCAAACATTAGTGTTTCAGTAATGCTTCTAAAGACACCAGTGAAAAGTAAGCTGCACCTGGGACCCTATCAAACATATTGTCAGGCTTTATCTCTACATAGACCTTACTTAATGCCCCACTGCTAATCACAGCAGCCAAGAAATGCTGCAAGATATGGATAAGTGCTAAAAAATTATTTCTGAACATTTAAAAGTCTTG